ACATATAATGCTGTTTTCCAGTGTCACTGTGGTCTCTGTCACTGCTTGAGAGCTGCTTCTGGATATTAAAATCTGATATTTCAAAAATGATATTGATTTGCGCTTTAGCTCACAGAAATAGCTCACTATTCTTGGAATTTTGTTCTTGTTAGTGACCAGATGCAGTAACGTATAGCAGAGCTGTTCTTCCCAACACATATGTTGCCCTCATGTTTCTTTTCTCTTTCTCTGTCTCAGTTATGGTGCACTGCAGAGAGAGGGGTGATGAGATGATAGTAGGTGATCTCTCTCATATTCACGTTTACGAACAGGGAGGAAGTGCACAGGTATGAACAAATGGGGGGATGTATTTGTCTCTTATAGGCTTATTTGTTCTTTGTCTCTCATGTTATTAAATTTATTATTCTTGTAATCCCTTATCAATTTAATTTGTAATTAAATAATGCATGACAACTACATGATTTATGTAGCACATAAAGGAGTCTGCCAATTTATCCCAAAATATTAAAATGTCATTTCCACCACAGAATGCTATTAAACACAATGATAATGTGGAGATGTGGTGGAAATGATCATGATGTTTTAGAAAAATTAATTTGTTTTGAGATGCATGTGAACTTCCATTCCAAAGGTTAGGGTCAGTGAAATTTTTATTATGTTTTTGATCTTACCAAGGCTGGCTTCATTTAATAAAAATAAAATAAAAAATAGCAATATTATAACTTAAGATAACTGTTGTCTTTGTTAGTATACTTTAAAATGTAATTTATTCCTGTGATGGTAAAGCTGAATTTGCAGTGTCAGAAAACATTTTAATATCCTGATTTGGTGTTCAAGAAAAAAAGTTATTATTATCAACCGTTGTGCTGCTGTGGAAACTGTGATATACTTTGGTGAAATATTTCTATTTGAAATAGAAATATGTTGTAACAATGTAAAAGTCTCTACTGTCCTTTTTGATCAATTCAATGAGCCCTTGCTAAATAGAAGTATTATTTTCTTCCAAAATAAAAAAATAAAAAGGGGTTAAGTGAGTTTCATTTTCGAAAAAGTACAGATGTGCCATAGTTGAAGAAACACCCATATACAACATTAAATATGAAATATAAAATGTGCTTATATTTGTTCATAGCTTGCAGGCGTCCATTCTGCAACAGTCACTACCCTCAGCGATGGCACCTTTGACCTAGACCAGCTGATCTCCAAGATCCGTCACGGTTACCCTGACCCACACTACCCACGCTCCCGCCTGGTTTGTGTGGAAAACACACACAATATTCAGGGAGGGCGCGTCCTCCCACTCTCCTTCCTGCAGGAGGTTAGATATTGGTTAAACATTAGCTCATTAAATGTGTGTATGTGAGAGAATGAGAATATGTTAAGGCAGCCAGACACCTGGGGCTAAACTCTGAACAACAGGACACAATCCCTCCATTTACACCCCCTGGTGATGTTCATTTAGTAAATGAGTGATTAAACAAAGACTGATTTACTCAGCACTCCAGCACAAATAGGTTTCATGCATTGCCTCAGATTTGACAAATGAAGCACATCCACATTGCTACACTTTTATGTTTAAAGTTTAAAAAATGTAGAAGCCGTGCATAACTGTATGTTTTTTTTTCTCTCGCTCAAAGCTTCGCTCTGTGGCTGATAATTTTGGTTTGACTGTGCATATGGATGGAGCGAGGGTGATGAATGCAGCTGTGGCTCTGGGCGTCCAACCTTCTGCTATACTGCAGCACTGCCACTCTGTCAGTGTGTGTCTGTCCAAGGTAAGCACTCACTTTCTCTTAGGGTCCACTTTATAATACAATAACTGTTATTTTTGTATAGCTATTTTATATATGAATCTCAGATAGCTTCATATATGTACAGTGGGTACGGAAAGTATTCAGACCCCCTTAAATT